TTTTTTTTTAATGTTAATGTGTATTATTTGTTTTTAATGTTAATATGTATTGTTTTCATAATTAAAAGGTAAGTCCAAAATAGATACTGCAAATGTTAGAACTTGAAAAGTCTTAATATTTGAAAAGTATCGCAAGTGTTGTGACTTTTAAAATTGGTACAGAAGTGTTGTGACTTGCACAAATTATTGATAGACAGCTCTGGCTTACCTTCTTGTGATGCCTATCGTTAAAAAATGATTAATATTTTGTTTCATTAGTGGAATTTCAAATTGTTTACTAAAAGCCAAGATACTAATTAATTACAATGGGTATTTTGTTTACACTAAATTACATAATTTTAAGTATTGTATTTTTAAAACATTTTACATGTTTTTTAGGTTAGATGTTAAAGAATCAAACAGCCTTTTGCCTAAGAATTTAAATACTCTTACACATCTTGTATTAAAAATTAAAGTGTTAAAATTTTTGTTTATTTTTAACAATATTTTTCAATTTAAAGTTAAAAAAAAATTTTTAGATTGGAGGGGCACTTTCTCTTTCCTATGTGAAACTGGATAAACATTTGCTTTTTGTAAAGTGTTAAAATGTCTGTTTATACTAATTTTTGACGTTTGAAAATGTAAACAAATTTTTCTTTTTTTAAATGATAAAAATTGACAAAAAAAATTAGGAGTTGCGGGCGCACGCCCTTACCTCTCAAGTAAAAGTATACCATACTAACAAGTTGTAATGTAGTAAAGTATTTTTATTTTTTTTTTAGTTTGGAAGGAGATTGGGGGAGGGGGTGCTGCGCGGGCGTACGCCCCTCACCTTGACTCGAGTTATACACCACTAACCACTAGTTGTAAAGTACAACTAGTGGTTAGTGAAACTTAAATTTTATTTTTTGTTCTAGATTACTTATTTAACTGGAGATAATATTATTTTTAAAAATGGAATTATTTTTGTTAATAGTACGTGTTAAACAAGCACCACCACATCCACCCCTAACTCAAAGGTACACATCTCATATATGGTGGTGAGCTGGGATCAAAATATTGGAACTTCTGTTTGATAAAAAAGACAATTTTCAGTATTAAAATACTTTTTTATGATAAAATATTCAATTTTTTGGTGGTAAAAGTTGTAGTTCGGGGCCCCCTCTAGCCGTCCACTCACGCCCTATGGCTAGATTCTACTATAAAATTGTAGCCCACTCTTACATCTTTCTTTTGATACCAAATTATAGAAATTTCAACAAGAATTTGCATAGTTGTAACAATTTTCGATACAAAAAAAATTATTTTGACCACAGTTTCTTTAACAATTTCATATATTCAAAAATTGTCACTAAAAACCTCATAACTTTTTTTTGAATTGTTCGATTTTGATAATTTTTTCACCGTTGAAATGCTGTATTAATGCTCTTTTTAACGATATATAACAATATAATATTTTTTTAAATTTAAAAATTTCATGTCACATACCTAATATATATATATATATATATATATATATATATATATATATATATATATATATATATATATATATATATATATATATATATATATATATAAACTTATATTTATACTATATTATATTATATTTATTTTATATTATATATTAAACTATACATTTGAATACTAAAATTAATATGTTATATAACATTTATAACATTGACATTATTAATGTATAATATATATTTAAATACAATTATATATGTGTAAATATTATTATAAAAATTTTATGTGTCTAATTATGTATATATCTAAATATATAATTGTAAATGTCTCTCTCTCTCTCTCTCTCTCTCTCTCTCTCTCTCTCTATATATATATATATATATATATATATATATATATATATATATATATATATATATATATATATATATATACATATATATATACATATACATATATATAAATAATTATATATATATAAATTTGTTACGAAACTTTACATTTAAATAAATAATAAACTATTGTGTTATTGCCATATGTAAGATAAAAAAGAAAAGGCTAAATAAGATGCAGCCATATAGTTGCATCTTATTTATATTTTATATACAAGGTAAAGTAATAGATTTTAAATTTAGTAGAAAGCGGCTTACAGACTGGAGAAATTCAAGAAAAGCTGTCTGCAAATTTTCTCAATCTTTTAATCAAAAGGAAGATGTAAAAAGTTCAGATTTTGAAGATCAGAGTGCAGATAGTGAATCTGTATGTAATTTTGCTGCAGATAATGTAATATATCCAAGTTTAACTACTGGCTCAAGACCAACATTTAGTAATGCATTGCAACAAAGATATGTTTTGTCTTCTAATTCAATTATTGAAAATCAGGGAGAGAGATTCATAGATAATAAAGGCAGGGATCAGGATAAAATGTATTTGTCTCTAAATGATAGTTATATTGAAAAAGAGCCATTTGAAACAGTTATTTTTCAAAAAGAAATAAAAATTTGGAGTTTAAAACACAACTGCACATGGCAATGTACCAATAATTTATTGACTATTTTAAATCTTCATGGGCACCAGGAAATGCCAAAAGATGCAAGGACACTTTTGTGTACAAGAAGAGTTGTGAAAACAGCATCTTTGAGAAATGGAAATTACATTTATTTTGGCATAAAACAAGGTATTGAAAATATATTGCAATTTCAAGACTTCAACTCCACTAAAATTAATCTTATATGTAATGTCGATGGTCTACCACTATTTAAATCCAGTGCCTACCAAGTTTGGCCTATACTTTGTCAGTTTGGATATTTTAAACCGTTTGTTGTTGGATTGTATGGCGGTAAAATAAAACCGTGTGCTTCTGAATTATTAGCAGATTTTGCAGAAGAGTTAAAAACTTTCAAACAACCTGAAGAAATACTTGGTAAGGTCATCAATATTTTTTTGTTTGCAATAACATGTGATGCCCCTGGTAGGGCGCTTTTAAAAGGCACAGTTGAACATTCTGGATACTATGCATGCGAGAGATGCAATTTGTCTGGTTTTTCTGTTCATGGTCGTATTGTTTATGATACATGTCAGGAAACAGTTACAAATAGAAACAATGCTGATTTAAAAGCCGGATTATACTCTCAAAAAGACAATGATGGTCGGTGCCATCTTCATACAAGAAGTCCACTGTTTGATGTTGAAGATTTAGACATGATTCAGGATTTTGCTCTTGACTATATGCACTTAGTTAATTTAGGTATTATGAGACGTATGTTATGTTACTACAAAGGTACATATGCCAGAATATTTAATGGTCGTTTATCAACACCTTATTTAAAAGAAATTTCTCGTTTACTCGCTAATTTAAATGGAAAATTGCCATCAGATTTTGTACGTCAAACAAGATCTTTAGAAGATGTAAATAGGTGGAAAGCCACAGAACTAAGAACATTCTTACTATTTGTGGGTATTGTTGTTTTAAAGGATATTCTCAATCCTCAGATGTACAAACATTTTCTCAGCTTATCTTTGGCTATCCGAATGTTGTGTGAGGAGAATAATGTTATTAGGAAAACATATTTGAGTCATGCACAAAAACTCTTGGAGTATTTTGTTTCAAATGCTCATGAACATTTTGGTGAAACATTTTGTGTCTACAATGTTCACTGTCTTCTGCATGTAACAGATGATGTTGAACATTTTCAAAGCAGTTTGGACGAGATTTCTTGTTTCCAGTTTGATAATTTTTTGCAACAATTAAAAAGATTAGTTCGAGGTACACAAAATCCTTTAGTAGAACTTGCAAAACGCTTAAGCGAACATAAATCAGATGATCCACGTAAAGCAAAATTAATAACTAAAATTGATGTTTCCAAGAATGCTTGTTTCATGACAAAAGATTTTGTTGTTTTTGTTAAAAACATTTTACCAAATGATCAATTAGTTTGTGACATCTATAAAAAGAATCATTTAAATAATTTCTTTGACAGCTTTTTAGAATCTAAGATACTTAATATATACTATATCAAAAACCATAACTGTTCAGCAATCCAAACACTAAACATACATGACTTACTTAGAAAATGTGTGTGTATTCCATATAAAAATAACAAAGTTGTAATATCTTTATTAAATAATGTGCATTTTTGAAAATTGTTTTTTTGTTGTTATACAAATAATGTTGCATACTTTAGTTAGCGCTATGAGGCGTTACTGATAGGCAAGGTTTTCAGTACATATATCAACTGATTTAGGGAGGACTTGCGGAGGGAGTTGATAACACGTCCAAAAATTTTGGGTTGTGGCAGGGATCAATTTATTTTCATGACTCTTCTTTTTCCCTCTTTTTCATTAAAATTCTTAAGGAAATTAGTAAGCATGTTTGATCACCTTTTGCTCACCAAAAACTCTATTGTAAGTGTATATATACGTATTTATTAAAGGTTTATCTATTTTTAATTATGGAGCTTATTTCTACAATCATATGTTTTATAAAAACAAAAATTTATCCTCATAACATTTTTAAATATCCAAGAGTTACAATTCGGAATTGATGTATTGTATAGAATAAATAGTAAATTTAATTGATACTCACAACAATTTTAATTAATAGAGACTTAATTAATAATTATCTAAAATTGTAGATTGTACAGTACTGTTGCAATTAAAGAAGATGGTATTGACTCTAAGACAGTAGTGCCTATTCACTGGGTCAATGCAGACGAAGGTATAGTATACTATCCCCCTCGAGGTAAAAAACCTGTGGGTGTTTATTTATCTGAATGGGCTAGTCCAGAACCTGGCTGGCAAGAGTTTATATTATTAGAATATATTTTGGAGTCTGGGAGTTATGAAGCATGTCAGGCAATGCTAAACTTTTTAACTGAAGATGAAAATGATGATCACCCTGGTAAGTTTATATACCTATTTATTCGTTTATATGTTTTAAAGAATTATTTTTTGGCAGATGTTATACTGTTATATTTGATTTGTGAAAAGTTACATTTTTTATAAACTTTCTTTGTAATATTTCTTTGTTCACCTAGATTATTTTTTCATAGTTATAAGCTTGAGATAGGGTTTAAAAAAATAATTTAAAATTAGTTGCCCCTAGACTGTGAAGAAATTAGAATAAACAAAAAAATTTATAAAATGAGAATACAATTTATGATATGATAATTTGTATTGAGCATTAATATGTGCAATTGGTTTGTTCTTGAGATATTTTGTTTATTATTCTATGTTTTTTGATTTTATTGTTTCAAATATGCTCCACCCAAAGGAACGAGTTCCTAGTCCAAATTTGCATGCTTTAAGTTGCACAACATCTGGTTCTTCATCACCAAATCAATTGGATGTGCCACTATTATCTCCATGGAAAAGAAGTAAAAGTAAAATGGGGTGTGTAGTACAGTTAAGATCGAATGAAGACTCACAACAATCGGATTTAGAATCATATCATTTTACTAAAAGTTCTACATCTTTCAAGATTGGTGATGGCGGTGTTTCATTTAAGGAGATGACAAACAAACGTAAGTTTTTGATATTAAGGTTTATAATGATCTTCATTTCTCTGATCTAATAACCTTTCTCTATTTTCTCTAATTTTAAAGCTAAATTTATCTCTAGTTTTATTAACGATTTTTCCTGTAGGCTACAAATAACGAATTTATGTTTAGAGTTTCAGTATGCAATGCTAATGAAACTAGATTCATTGCAGCAAAATCAAGTTAAAATTATGGAGCGATTAGAGAACATGGAAACACATCCAAAAAGTGACACTATTGATTTGGGTGCCATAATTGCAATCCCACACAGAGATATTGGGTGTTTTAATGATGAAGAAGAAAATCTTAGAGCAAGTTCTCGCGCTAGGAAAAACAAGGTAAAAATTTACAAAAGTATATTCTACAATATTAAAACAGGTGACGTAGTTGTGTGTTATTTGTTTTTAACTCTAATGAAACAGTAATCTATTATGTTCCTACTGGTGATTCCAGGAATGTTTCTTGTATAGTTAAAAAATTATGTTTGTAAAAATGTAAAGTTGTAATATAAAATTTAAGTTTTACGTTATTAGGTTTTAGAACTTATTAGATTTTACAAATTTTCAGATCACTCAAATCAAAGCTGTTGGTGGTGCAACAGCCCGCAAAACTGTCAAAAATATTTTAAACCAGTTGATGGTGCCACAAGTCCAAAACTTATTTAGTAAAGATGGATTGAAAGGCAAGCTTAAGTTTACAGCTACGCAACATTACAATTGTATTAAAGGTGAGGCAATCATTGTATTGTGCTTTCTTAATTTGATTTTTAAAAAAGTTAAATTTTTACCTATATATATATATAAATAATATATATAAATAATATATATAAATAATATATATAAATAATATATATAAATATATGTGTATATATATATTTATATTTATAGCTATATAGATATTACAGCTTGTAAAATTGTTTAAATAAAAATAATTTCTTTGTTCAGAAGACCAACAATTGCAATTTACTTTTATGTTTTTTTAGAAGGCTTAGTATCCGAAAGAACTGGTTATGATGCTGCAACTATCGAAGCCCTTGTTGGAGATTTATTGAAGCGGGCATTGCCGAAAGTGAAAACAATTAGCAATGTTGACGTTCACGAAGAAGAAGCAACATAAAATTGTTTCTTTGTATATTTATTATCTTTAAAAGTAAATGGATTTTACACATTTCAGTTGTTTTGAGTTTAACACACCTTTTTTATTCATTTGAAATTCTGATCAGAATTTTTAAAATGATATATATACTCTGTCACAGATATCTGATTAGAATATCTATCTAGGCTGTTTAGTAAGACATATACATACCACGGACGTCTATAGAAGTCCAAAATGGACGGACGAATGCCGTTTCATTCCGTCGTCCATAGGACGTCTTATGGACGTCCAAAATGGACTTCCGTTCGTCTAATTTTGAACGTCCATGGACGTCAATAGACGTCCAAAATGGACGGACGAATGCCGTTTCATTTAGTCGTCCATAAGACGTCTTATGGACGTCCAAAGCGGACGTCCGTTCGTCCGATTTCGGACGTCCATGGACGTCTAATGGACGTCCGCGTGCCCGCAGGGCAGTTTCTGGCAATCACCTTCAAATATTGCACGACGGTAGTTCTCATTGGCTATTATCATTCGCTTCAAATGGCAGGGTTCAACTGTGCAATAGGTTGCGCACTAACCTAACATCGATTTCAAAAAAATGTTTAAAATTTTTCTTTCAACCACTTGTGAAGAATGGAAAGCTTGAAGTAAAATTTCTTCCTCTTGATAAGCAAATTGATAGTTTCAATTGTGGTGTCTTTGGTTTGGGTTATGCAAGTATATTTCTGGATGGAAAATCCTCTCTTGATGTTCGATTTGTTGTGAATGAAATGCGCACTCACTATATAAAATGTTAGACAGACGCTCACTTAAATCCTTTTACAACACTTGAAAAAGTCGTTCATGCAACAAACCTAAACTTTTCATGTTTTGATTCAAAACTCAAAATTGGTTTTTTACTTGTATGTGATTTTATAAATTTGTTTAAAACATTACAAAGCAAATCGGTAACCAATACTATTTTCGTAATATTTAAAAATTTTCTATGTTTAAATATTATTCTAGTTCATTTCTTAGTGTTTTATTTTAAGTATTTACGAAAGAAAATATTTACGCTAAATACAAAATATGAAAAATACCTTTTTTTCATATTTTGTATTCAGCCTTCCATAGAGAATGCTATCCTTTTTTAGGCAATTTTTTGCCTAAAAAAGGATATATACATAGTATATATATATATATATATATATATATATATATATATATATATATACATATATATATATATATATATATACATATATATATATATATATATATATATATATATATATATATATATATATATATATATATATATATATATATATATATATATATATATATATATATATATATATGTATATATATATATATATATATATATATATATATATATATATACATATATATATATATATATATATATATATATATATATATATATATATATATATATATATATATATATATATATATATATATATATATATATATATATATATATATATATATATATATATATATATATATATATATACTCTAACGATATATTCATAAAAGTACGTTTACAGTTTTCCATGTTATTTAATATAAAAATATAAAAAAAATCTATTAGTGAAGTCCTTTTCCTGTAAACCCCCTAACTCAGTATCTTGATGGCAGGTGGTTAAATTTACAAGTTCATTCATTCTCTCTGCTGGATAACGAGAATTAGCATTCGCCACCAGATTTGTTTTTCCTGGTTGGTGCTGGATGATAAATTTCCATGGCAAGGTTCTCTGTTTTAGTCGGAAAAGTCGTGTGTTAGCAATTTCATCAAGGGTCCTGGTCAGTTACTACCAAAAGGTTATCATATTCTTGTATAAAGTATTAAGCTTGCTCCAGACTTCAAGCCACGCCTAGCATTCCCCTTTAACTGGGGCGTATTGTTCTCCGGCAGATAACAAGAATCTGGACCCGGCAAGTGTGGTTTTTCATTTTAGGGAATCACCTAAGCAAAAAACAATGTTTTTGGCTTAGGTGATAACCTACACCCGATTTCAACCAGTCGCTTCTCAAGCAGGTCTTCTTGGTAATGTCAAATATTTAGACCCCGTTTTTTATTGCGTTGATGATTTTTTCCTTTGATGCACTGAATGAAGTGTTGAGTTCATGCGACCAATAGAATTTCAATTTGGGGCTGAGCGGAGCTTTAAATGGAGCTATGACTTCACAAAGTTGGGAGTAATGTGATACTTAGTTAACTAAACTGAACCAGGATCTGATGTCACTTATTAAGGATGGTGTTGGAAATAATCTGATTGTGTCAATATATTTAGGCAGTTGTTCAATTCCTTTCAGATATTCTAAAACCTGCAAAATCTACAACTCTTTGAGCAAATTGGAATTTTTGTGGATTTAAAATAAGTCCAGCTTTACCAACAAGCTCGCAAAACTCGATTGTTCGCCACCAATACTTAACTAGTTCATTGTCGTAGTGGAGGGTGTAATCTACACATCTTTGTTTGCGACTAAAATTCGCCACAATTTCATCAAAACGCCTGTTTTAGCCGTCCCCGCTTGAGACAAGACCCTGAGGAGCTTGAACGTATCTGTAGCGTCTAAAAGGTGTGATGAAGGTGGTAAAATGTCTATCTTCATTTCGTATTGGGACGCTATGATAACCATTCCATGCATCGGTTACAGTTTTCCATGAATTTCTTGGGACTAAACAAGCTAGATAAAATGGTGTATTCATGGCATGGGTTTCTCTAGCAATATTTGTTTAATTGAGATAGGTCAACTCTGCGACGAGGCCCGTCATCGTGTTTGCGTGTGATGACCGTTTTGTGGCACCATGTTGTAGCTTCTCCTAGATGTACCTTTTCAATAAAAACAAGAGGTTCATTACGAAGAAAATCTTTCTCCACCTGGTCTTGCCAATGGATTGGTATGGTGGCTGGAGTGAATGCTGCTACTGGTTTGACATTTTCCTGGATATAAATACTAATTGGTGACCCCTCCATGTCAGGTAGTATCTGGCGTGAGCATATGTTGAATATTGAGGCAGAGTATCTTTCAAGAAGCCAAGTTTTCATTCGTTTGTTGTTTACAGGGGAGCAATCAAAAGGAAGTTTAGTGGGTACACTTGGTGGGAGACTTCTTTTGGGGCAATCGCATGTGTGTATTGTGTTGATTTCGCTCAGTGTTTCGTTCCTTTTGTTTGAGAGCCTGAGCTAATAGCTCCATAGAGGGCACTACAAATCTGTAGAAAGTCTTTAGAGATGATACCCAGTTGAGTCATCGCCTCTTTAGATAAGTAGAATCCGTTTGCATCTGAACTTATATAAAGCATTACTGCACATTCGCTTTGTTGCCATTAGGTTGTTGTCTTTCAAGACGTAAAAAAATCGCACCTCCAATACGAAAATTGGTTTTGTTGGCAGCAGACATGCTATATTTCACAGGTATTAAATTTTTTGATTTAAAACCTGTACTATCAAACCTTTTCCTGGACCATAAGCAAGACTGTGCACCAGTATCTTAAATGACTTGTAGATATTTTAGTACAATGGGAGGAAATGGGATACCAAATGCATCGTAGTCTGATTTGTTGGTAATCATGCGTAGCTGAATTGTTGGGTGAACAAGCGATTGAGCTGTGGCCCATCCATCGTGGGTAAATATGTGATTTTCTTTTAACTTTAATTTAATTCTTTATTGTGCTTAACATTAATACGAGTCCGCTGGCCTCAGCATCTTTAGATGCATTCAGTTTCATATCATTTGAGATGATTCTGTTGTTGATTTTAGAATTTCGAGATGTCAGTTTTTTCCAACAGTCTAAACACAGCTTGTAAGGTTTTGTGTTTCATCCTCTAGATGATTTGGTATATAAACTATAAGATTTTGAGCAATCTGGGATTAGCTGTAACATTGGTCTCTTTACTACTATGTTTATTTCCCTTGTTTTGTTTCCTGAAAGATGATTGATGACACTTGCCATTGTTGAACTACAGCCTAGTGCATTCCGTTCCATTTCCTTACCCTCAATAAAAGCAATGATATCTGTTATTAAGGCTGTGTCAAGGGAGGCCCATCCAAGTACATCTTTACGGATGTCAATGTCTGATACTCCAGCAACAACAATGTCTCGTATGATAGCATTGGTAAAGTCAACTGTTGTTTGTGGGTGGCAGTGGCATTGTACAGTGTAGGTGCAAGTAGCTGCCTTGCCCTTGATTTTTGCGTAGAATGACCGAATATTTTCGTTGTGTCCCTGTCTCGTTTGAAGGAGTTCTGCTCTTCTGACACTAATAGCCACTGGGAAAACAGCCAATTTTTTCATGGCTTTTAGAAATGTTTCTTCATTTCCGTTAATTATTTTAGGATTTTCTTTCAGGAGTGATTTCCAAGGTCGTCTTCAAAGCATTGAAACAGCTGTGCTGTCATTTTCTCTTGTCTAATGTCTGTACATCTCTTGAACAGTGTCCAGCGACTAATAAAATTTGCCCACTCTACTTCTGATATATCCTGACTGGTGTGGGGACAATTCTTTTTTGGTGCCTTCTGCTTTGAGAAGTCTGAATGTCGATCGAGTTTGGAGGATGGTGAAGTGGGTGATTGTTAAATAGTGCAATTGCAATTGCTTCGCTGGGGCCTTTGATAATGACTTTCCATGCTGGATCCTGGCAAGGTAGCCCTAACCCTGACATATTATGGAAGATAAAAAGGTTATCAAAATCCTACCTTCTTGTGCATACATTACCAACTCCAAACAAAATAACATAAAGGAGTTACAATGTCAAGCTTTGTCAATACGTTTTTATCTTTGTAAAACCACTGTTTTTTTTAAAGTTCCATTGGATACATGAAGAAACTAACATAAACAAAAGTCAGTTGTTGTTCCAGATCATATATATCTTAAACAATGTTAGTTTCTAGAAATAAAGTAACAACAAATATAAACTAAACATTTCTAGAAATAAAATAACAATAGAACAATAAATATAAACAACAACAATAAGATGACAAGAAATGGATAGTGTCATATTTCTACACCACCTTGTCTCTTTTTATCCTTCTTATCTCAACCCCCTCCCTCATTT